CGCCGCGCGGGGCCACGGCTGCCCGGCAGCAGCACCGGAGACTCCGTGCAGACACGCGGCGTTCGTACGTGGGAAGTGGGCTCCGCGCCGGGCGGGGGCTCCGCGCCAGGGCGCCCCGCTCGCGGTGGGGGTTGGAGATGCTTCGTGAGCGGCCGCTCCCGAGGGGCTGGCTGTGCCGGGAAGGGACCGCCCTGCTCGAGCGGATGGGGGGCGGCAGCTGCAGTCGGGGGAGGTGGGGGGCCTGTGCGGGAAGCCTCGCCCCCGCTCCTTGCCGCTGGTGGGTTTGGGGCGTGTCTGCGTCTCGCGCTGCCGCCCCCGGCCCCACAGGACTTCCGGCTGTCGGGAGCCGTCCTTTTTTGGGAGTCACGGTAGTCCCTGAAGGAGCGTTTTCTTGTCGTGAGAAAACGAGCTTACGATTCCGAAGCCCCTGAAGACGCGGCGACCACGCGACTAACTTTGCCGGCAGATGTTAATTACACTCATTTTCTCTTGCAGCTGTTTGCAGACAAAGTTCCGAAGACAGCAGGTTAGTTTCCGGTTTCTTTTTTTAACTTCCTGAGATGGACCAACTTAAAATCTTGGGTGTGCGTGTATGTGTGGATATACACGGATCTGGGTTTGCTTTTTTTCTTTCGGACAGAGAACTTCCGTGCCCTGAGCACTGGGGAGAAAGGATTTGGTTATAAAGGTTCCTGCTTTCACAGGATTATTCCGGGATTTATGTGCCAGGTATGAAATTCACCGGTCCTGATTTGGGTGGCGCTCTTAATTTGAGCGTGAGCTAGAGTGTTTCAGCATGGGTGTGTATGAGGTTTTTCTACCATTTGGGTCTCCCTTAACCTCGTTAGTCAGATTAAACTTGTGTTTTCAGGTTGGCCAATTGCAGGTTGAGTGTTTTCGGGTCACACTGCCAGGAGGGACAGGCTTTGCTCTTGTTCACAGGGGGGGGACTTCACACGCCATAATGGCACTGGAGGCAAGTCCATCTATGGGGAGAAGTTTGATGATGAGAATTTCATCCTGAAGCACACGGGTCCTGGCATCCTGTCCATGGCCAACGCTGGACCCAACACGAACGGTTCCCAGTTCTTCATCTGCACTGCCAAGACCGAGTGGTAAGGGCAGAACACGGCAAAGGCGACCCAGGAGCCCTAATCCCTCGCTTCTCCCCTTTCCTGTTTTCCATCTAAAGTAGCGGGAGGACCAAGAAAGCCACAGACTTAGGTCCTGTGGTACAGAAAGCAAGATCCTGGAATAGCATGGGCGCTTAGCTGAGTAGTTCAATTGGGTGCTACTTTTGGGGCTCCTGGCTGGCTCAGTTTCAGGAGCGTGGAACGCCTGATCTCAGGGTCGTTACGTTCAAGCCCCATGTTGGGTGTAGAGATGACTAACAAAAACTTGAAAAAGTAAACGCAAACAAGAGTGGTAACTTTTGATTATCGTGTGCTTGTTGGCTCTTTAGGGTTTTTTTTATTTATGAGAGAGCACACGTGCAGGGGTGGGTGTGTGGAGCTGCTGAGGGAGAAGCAGACTGACTCCCCCCGCCGAGCATGGAGCCTGACGCAGGACTCAACCCCAGGACCCTGAGAACATGACCTGAGCTGAAGGCAGACACTTAACCTACTGAGCCGCCCAGGCGCCCCTAGGGGTCCATTCTAAGTGTAGGATTTTTTTTTTAAACATTTTTTTTTTTTAAAGATTTTTATTTATTTATTTGACAGAGAGAGAGAGAGCGAGAGCAGGAACACAAGCAGGGGGAGTGGGAGAGGGAGAAGCAGGCTTCCTGCCGAGCAGGGAGCCCGATGTGGGGCTCGATCCCAGGAC